TAAATTAAAAATAATAATTAATTGCGAATTGAAGTAATTGCATCATTTTTAATATATGAATGTTTTAGCCGAAAATCAACGATTATAATAAATTTACAAAATATTTATATCGTTTAGAGTATATTTAATAATTATATCAAAGATAGACTCATTTATTTAACATACTAAATATTTGTACTATTCATCTTACTATTTATTTAACATACTAAATATTTTAATTTCCTAATTATAAACACATCTCATTAAATAATCTCAATATTTATTTTAATACGCAAAGTTTACATTTTTAAGTAATACAGAAAGTATGCATGTAATTTTGTGCAAATAATTGTATAATTGCTACAAGCTAATTAATTGTAAATACGAGAAGATTGTTTATTAAAGAAAATTAAATCTTGATACATAAAATGTAAATATATTGAATTATTAAGTTCTGTTTAATAATTTTATTAATTATCTTCTTTAAAGCAAACGTGAATTTTGATTGTGTAACTATAATTTAAATGATTGTTATAGTTTGATATTATATTTTTAATTTACATTTTTAGAAATGTAATTATTTTATAAATAAATAAATCGAAAAGTTTATAGAAAAATAATGATAATTTATTTCAATTAAATATTTTGTTGTCTACATTTACATAACTGTTAATTATTTTTTAATATTGATATCCGGATTGTTGGTTGAAGCTAGGTTTGGCTGGACCAGATTGGAATTGCTGAGAAGATGGACCATTGTAGTAAGAAGCTTGAGCGTTTCCGTTGTATCCTTGGGAAGAAGTTTGTGCAGCGTTCTTAGCCAAAGTCTGGATTTCTTCGGCGATGTGATCACCGACTGGACGGAAACCGTTTTCGTCGGCTACGTAATGAACGGTGTAAGTTTTACCATCATCACCCATGTACGAGTAAGATCCTTCGACAGATTGAGCTCCTTCTTGAGATCCATCGTTTTTCAATTCACCGGTTTCTTGCTGGGAGATTTTGTTCTCGGTTTCGAATCTGTAAAGAATGTTTGTTAATTGTAGTTAAAGTTGGATGTAATTTCAGGTAAATTTACTCGAATTTGTATGATCCATCTCCTTGGTTTTGGTTGTTGAAACGAAGGATGGAGGTTGGGGCTCCGTACTGACCGGAAGGAGCTCCGTATTGTCCTGAAGGAATGTTGGATTGTCCACCGAAGTTCTTAGCTGGAGCATCATATTGAGTGGATGGGGCTTGAGCTCCGAAGTTGTTGGATTGAGCGAAATGTCCGTTGGTGGAAGGAGTTCCGTATTGAGTGGATGGAGCCGATGGGAATCCTTGAGAACCAAAGTTGGTGTTGGCTGGTAAATATTTAGCAGAAGGAGCGTTCAAGAAGTTTCCATTCCCACCAGCAGTTGGGGCATTGCCTGGAGGTAAATAAGTGTTCTCCAACGTCCAGCCGCAACAGCAGCGAACAAGCAGGAAGCAATAAACTAACAAAATTAATTAATTAATTAATCAATTAACAAAATTTGTTATAATTGCATTGAACTCACCAATTTCATATTTGAGATGTTTGTATTGGAAGAGATCACAATTGACTGATGATCCTGCATTGATCCTCTTCATCTTTTATACGTGATTCAATGAGGTCGAAAGACGATACACTTGCACTGGATTTTCGGTAACGAGCGACTCAAGGTGAAAGTAATAGCGCACATTTTTTGGTACAGATTATTTAACATTCACCTTCACTCGCTCCAACTTCGAAATCAAATTCGCAATTAAGCGTTTACATACGAAATCAATTAACAGAATTATCCGATAAACAAATCTTTTCGAAATTTCATCTTCGCCTTGAAGATGTCTTTACGCAAGAGAGTGCTCGTAATAAAAATAACTATACTTGTTTACTAATTAAAAACAAGAAGAGCACATGTATATAAGGCAAGTACCGAAATGCGAAATCAACATAAAGTCTTGCAAGTTTGATAAGCGCACATCCAATATGATGAAATTGGTAAGGTTTTCTTAAAAAAAAAACACTAATTTTTGAGAGATTAAAAATCGATTACGTTTCTAGATTTTGGTTTCGGTTTTGATCGCCTTTGTGGCTGCTGAACCTCCAGTTCCCGTTTACGGACCACCAGAAGTTAAACTCCAGAAGAATTCTGAAATAAGAATCCTCGATTACAAGAACGAGAACAACGGAGATGGCTCTTACAGATTCAAGTTAGTAATTATATTGAAAAGCAAATTCATTTATTCTAACGTTTAATCTAATTATTTCTTTGCAGTTTCGAGACTGAAAATAAGATTACGCAACAGGAATCTGGTGAATTGAAGAACGTTGGAACCGAGGATGAAGTTATCTCAGTGGAAGGATCTTACTCTTACGAAGGACCGGATGGTGTAACGTACACTGTACACTATATAGCAGATGAGAATGGTTTCAGGGCTTTCGGAGATCACATCCCGACTCCTCCACCGACCCAAGGACAAGAAAACAAGGATGGTTACAAATATGAAGCGAGAAATTTGAAATCCGAAGATACCGTTGAGATTCCAAACGCTGAATTGGTTGAACCTTCTCAACAAGATGTTAAACAGTCGGAATTTCAACCTGCCAGAACTCCAGGAAGGAAATACTTGAGCCCTGATGTGAAGCAACAACAAGGATATTGATTATAAAAAACCTGTTCGATTTATTTATTGATGTATATAGAGAAAGAAATATATTTTCATATTAATTGCATATAAAACTTGTTTTTTACTTGTGTAATAACAAGAAACGTTTCAATTATAATTTATAATAGAAATTACAAAATATTTCATGAATACATTAAAAAAAACATAAATAATTACTGTTTATAATGTAATAATATATTTATAATATAACATTTTATGAATTTAATTTAAACTCAATTTTGATTATCTCAATTTCATTAGTTTTACTTAATTGTTATTTTTAAATAATTCTATTTTGTAATTATTATAACTCAAGATAACTGTTTTATTATAGCAATCACAGTTATTAGTTATAAGTAAATGTATTGTTTATAACATAATCAAACTTATTGAATTAAGTATACGTAATGTATTGTAACAAGAAACGTAATTTGTTTAATCCTATTACAGATATTGTTTGTTAACATTTAATTATGTTATAATTAGAAATAAATTATTGTTAATTATATTCACTTGGAAAGTAAATTTAAAATTATTATGAAGTAAAACATTTATGATATTAATGAAATAATCCAATTTTATATTAATTATGATATCAACTGTCTTTTATGAATTTTCAAATATGTAAGCAATTTGTTTGAAATGTTTTTAAGTAATAGTAATTAATTAATTTTTGGTATATAATCAAAAAAGTAAACCAAATATTTATATATATAAAATATGTTCATAATTTATTCACAATTTTCAATAATTTACAAAAGGTATTTGTTGCAGGTGTACAGAAATAATTTGTTTAATATTGATATCCGGATTGTTGGTTGAAACTCGGCTTGGCTGGACCAGATTGGAATTGGTTTCCTTGATGAGCAGAGAATCCTTGTGATTGTCCGTTGCTGTAAGTCTGGGCATTCCTGTCGTATCCTTGAGCACCGACCTGAGCGGCGTTCTTTGCCAAAGTCTGGATTTCTTCGGCGATGTGTTCACCTTCTGGACGGAATCCGTTCTCGTCGGCGACGTAGTTGACGGTGTAAGTTTTGCCATCGTCTCCCAAATAGGAGTAAGATCCATGAACGGATTGAGCTCCTTCTTGAGATCCGTCGTTCTTCAATTCACCGGTTTCTTGCTGGGAGATTTTGTTCTCGGTTTCGAATCTGTAAAGAATATTTGTTAATTGTTATTCAAATTTGCATGTAAATTCAGGTAAATTTACTCGAATTTGTATGATCCATCTCCTTGGTTTTGGTTGTTGAAACGAAGGATGGCAGCACCGGCTTCAGCGGATTGGTACTTGGTTGGGGCTCCGTACTGACCGGAAGGAATGTTGGATTGACCACCGAAGTTCTTGGTTGGAGCACCGTATTGAGTGGACGGGGCTTGAGCCCCGAAGTTGTTGGATTGAGCGAAATGTCCGTTGTTGGAAGGAGTTCCGTATTGAGTGGATGGAGCCGATGGGAATCCTTGAGAACCAAAGTTGTTCCTGCTGGAAGCTCCGAACTGCGAGTTGGTGTTGGCTGGTAAATATTTAGCAGAAGGAGCGTTCAAGAAGTTTCCATTTCCACCAGCGCTTGGGGCATTACCTGGAGGTAAATAAGTGTTCTCCAAACGTCCAGCCGCAACAGCAGCGAACAAGCAGGAAGCAATGAACTAAACAAAATTAATAAATCAATTAACAAATTTCAATAATTGTAATTACTTTATACTGACCAATTTCATGTTTGAGATGTTTGTATTGAAACAGATCGCAATTGACTGATGATCCTGCTTAGATCCTCAGCATCTTTTATACGAAAGTTAAAGGAGGTCGAGAGATGATACACTTGCACTAAATTTTTGGGCAACGAGCATATCAAGGCCGCAGCAGTAAAAGTAAAATTACATTCTTCTACTTACAAATTATTTAACATTCTCGTGAGCAAAATCGTATCTTCTTGAGATATAAAACCAATTAAATATTTATATAATTTTAAATGAAATCCGTTCAATTCTTAATTTTAATAATTAAGATATTTTTTAATACAATAATTTAGTAATTGATCAATTTTCAAAGACGCGAGATAATTAATTACCTGCAACGACTTTACAAACTTTCATTATTAAAACATCACTTTTTTATATAAGGAAATTCTCACTTCTAATTACATCGAAGTTCATAAAAATTCGCAAAGTTGATGCCGATAATCAAAGTTCAATTTCATATCGGTTTTAATTACATCTTTTGATCGGTGTTCAAATTAATTTCACATATTTTAATTTAAAAATAAATCTCAAGGATAAATCAACATTACTTATTTTATTTTTTATTTTTGAGAACATTTACATAAATTCGCACTTTAAATTGTATCGATGCATCTGCTTACGATCAAGGTGATCCTCTTATAAAAAAAATAAATGTAGGAAGAAAGAATTAAGCAATGATTAAGTACACTTAATTAGATGTATTCTGCTTCTTTTTTGTGTTCTTCCAATTGCAAGTTGATGGCTGCAAAAACGTGCCGAATGGAGATTAATTATTAGAGATTACTTTCACCTAAGAAAGATCCTTCTTCGCCAAACGTGTATTTCGTTGAAAGTATTTTAACATTTACAATCTGCTTCTAATGACTCAATTGAACAAATATTCTACATACAGTTTTTTAAATTTGAACACAAGTTTTTTTATAGTCTTTAATTAAATCGTTATTTGTTGCAATTCCAATCGATCAATAAATACACAAATCTAACTGCATTAACATTGATATTTCTTCATCCTACAAGAATGTTTACATTCTTTTTTTGAGAAATTATTAATAAAAAATAATGAGGAAATGAAATAACTAAATTTATCTATTAAACTATATTTATTATGTTATTATTTACGTCTTCATGTTTTATTTAATTACTCTATAACTACGTAGATTAATTAGATCACTGAAAGTGGATATTAAAGAAAAACTTATGAGCTTTCGAACGAGCCTACTAACAGATTTGTGATGTTTACCATTCTTCTGCAATAAGCTTTCAAAAATGAGCAATACCAAAATATTTATCAGGTGCACATTTGGTTGCATAAATTACAAAATTACTAGGTTTATAATTAATGAAGTAGATAATTATAGTAATTGTTAATTAACAATAAAACCATTTATTGACTTAGTAAAATGTTACAAAATCTTAAGAAAGTCATATAATTTTTATTTCTTTTAATATTAACTGAGTTAATTATGAATAAACTTTTCATAAGAAATTATTTAATTATTTTCATTGTTAATTTAATCAAATTGTATAAATACTTTACTTTAGTATTTTTTCTTCGATTTTGAAGGATTCTATTAAAAATAAAGTTATATCTTGGATAATTTTATGAGAATAAGTTTTATTATTTATACTAATTTTGTTACATTTTCTTTTCGATCTTAATTTCAATATTGGTATCCAGATTGTTGGTTGAAGCTCGGCCTGGATGGAGCAGAGTACAATTGCTGTGTGGATGGAGCGTTGTAGTAAGAAGCTTGAGCGTTCCTGTTGTATCCTTGGGAAGAAGTTTGCGAAGCTTTCTTAGCCAAAGTCTGGATGTCTTCGGAGATGTGATCTCCCATTGGACGGAAACCGTTCTCATCGGCTACATAGTTTACAGTGTAAGTTTTACCATCATCTCCTTGATAGGAATAAGATCCTTGCACGGATTGAGCTCCTTCGTGCTTCAATTCACCGGCTTCTTGTTGAGAGATTTTGTTCTCAGTTTCGTATCTATATAAGAAAATTTAGTTTTATTTCAATATTTTCGTATATTTTATAGTTAACTCACGCGAATCTGTAAGAGCCATCTCCTTGGTTTTGGTTGTTGAAACGAAGGATGGAAGACCTAGCCTCAGCGGATTGGTATTTGCTTGGAGCTCCGTACTGACCAGAAGGAAAGTTGGAATGTCCTCCGAAGTTCCTCGATGGAGCACCGTATTGAGAGGATGGGGTTTCGGCTACGAAACTGTTGGATTGGGCGAAATGACCGTTGTTGGAAGGTAAGTATTGAGTGGATGGAGCCGATGGGAATCTTTGAGAACCAAAGTTGTTCCTGCTGGAAGCTCCAAAATGCGAGTTGGTATTGGTTGGTAAATATTTAGCAGAAGGAGCGTTCAAGAAGTTTCCATTTCCACCAGCACTTGGGGCATTTCCTGGAGGTAAATAAGTGTTCTCCAAACGTCCAGCCGCAACAGCAGCGAACAAACAAGAAGCGATGAACTAAACAAAATTAATTAATTAATTAATTAACAAATTTGTTATAGTAATATTGAACTCACCAATTTCATTTTTATTGAGATGTTTGTATTGGAACAGATCAAAATTGACTGATGATCAAATTAGAATCCTCCGCATCTTTTATACCAATTGAGGAGGAGTGATGATACACTTATTATTTTCGACTAAAACTACTTTCAAGGACAAGTAAAAGTATCCCAATATTGTTACAGATTTTATTAAACTCAATTCGTGCTCAATTAAAATCGACTCTTCACAATATTTATTTACTAGTGGAGCGTATTTTGGGCATTGCGCCATAAATCCAACTCCAAAATTTAATTGATTTACGCTCATGCAAAACGCATTACGTAATAACGATCACTAATTTATAGGCACAATTCGTTCATTTTTCCATCAATACGTACTCTGCTTTTAGAGTTCATTTAGTAAACATAATTGAAACAGCATTTCGATGAGTCAATTTATTTAATTTCACTCATATTTTAATAGTTTTATTTGTAGTTTTCATTAATTATTATCTATTGGAGTACTTTCAAAGAGTTGCGTAAAAATTGATTTATAACAATAGTTTGTTCGTGTTTTATTTAGTTTTATGAGTTCATTGGTAATTGCAATATTTGAATAGAAATAAAGCGATGACTCAACTTTAATTTCAGTTGGTTAATTAGAATGTAAAGAATATAAAGAAACCAAAGAAAAATATAATAACTTTATAATATACTGAAGTTATTTGTAATAAAAAAAATAGAAACAAAGCAAAGACAAGACTTGCGTGTATTAATCAACGTTTCCCTAGTGTCTGCAGTAGTTAATCTTGTTATACTATTAATTGGAGCAAAAAAAAGGTTTTGGGTTTGTGAAAAGGAACAGAATTGTGGCGTCCAAGCCCTTTTTTTTATCTTAGTCCTTGTAACGAATAGCCCGTGTTTTTCAATACACAAAGAGAAGAAGTGGAACAGCTAGAAGCACGAAAAATTATCTACCACATCCTTCGCACCGCAATAATATTAATTCCTTTGTGTATGGAGAAAAATCACCGGAAGAGACTTCGCTTAATTAATCTCAGTTCATTTATACTTTAATTAAGACGAATTGCGTGAAATTTGTCAAATAAATTGTTTCTTTTTCATCAATTTTAACTTAAACTTTATTAATAACAAACAATAAATGTAAAAATACGTAAATTTATTTATTTTTGTATCGAAATTACATCTTTTTTTTAGAGAGAATTATCATTGAATTTACAAACAGTTTGGGTGTTTAGATTTTATGTGAAGATACGGCTAATGATGTGTGATTTTCTTGCAGTAATAATAGTAATGATGATGATAGTTGAACCCGATCAAATCTCGCGCAGAATTCGCCTCAAGCCTCGATTATATAATTGCTAATTATATCCGTGATTTCGAAGCGATCTCTTTGCATCACATCACGATCATCCTTGGGTGAGAACGAATTCAAAAATTTAGTGTTTTTCGAATTAGGAAACAAAACAGATTCTCATTATTAAGAATAGAATTTGGTATTAAATAATATGTTATATATTTGTGTGGTTCTCGTAATAAATCTTTGTTAAATATAAAGAAACTAACAAAAAGAAATATTGTGTTTTGGATAATTAACTGTTAGTTATTACTTAATGTCTAATAAAATTATACGCAATTATGTGGAGATGAAAGAAGTGAATGTGAGCTGGAGTAATTTCTAAAGCCGTTCACGGTGAGTTACATGATGCGAGTCGCGAGTAAATTTGTAGATTTAATTATTAAGTTTTCGGCGCGTTTTAAGCGAATTTATACGCCCTTCCGTCCTGTCTCTTTTCCTTTTCCTCTTTTCTTCATTTCATTATTTATGAATGTCGGAGAAGCGAAGGTTAGATGATGGAAGTCTACAAGATTTGTACATGCGACACAGTGTTGTATGTGCACTTCGTCTCGGAATATTTAATATATGTTCTTTGTTCGAATGTCTGTGTCGTAACTTATGAATTTCGCGACACATGAGGTGGAATTCTCGACGGTGAATTTCATTAATTCCCACTTTCTTTTGAATTTCCGTACGACGAAGTTCCGTATTCCCAAATGGGAGAGAAGGGTCGAAGTTTAAGTGCGTTGCGAAGTTTTCGGAAAACGTTCTCTTTGCTTCCTTCTCACATCACGTAATTTCCTCTATTCGTCCTTTTAGTAATGCACCACCGCTGCTTATGATTCTGATATCATTGCTGTAGTAGCTGCGAGGACGACTGCAATCGGCGTTTGCAATCCTATCTGGACGTGCTACTTTGATGTCCTCTCTTCAGAGCGTTTAATTAAAACCGTTTTTGGTGTCATTACGTATATAACCTTCGCTATTTTCTCGCGTTAATCTCCTTTGAGAATAACTCCAAACTTCCTTTATTTATTTACTCTAGTTAAGTATAGTATTTATGAGAAAACAAAATGCAATTTGTAATTACTAAATTTGCATCAAATCGAAAATTTTTAAATTAACGCAGAAAAAGCAGTGTTTTCAAAACTATAATAGATAGAATGAATTCAAAAGATGCATATGAAAGCTGAATGTTTGAGAAATGTAGCAAGTATTCATATATTACTGTGGATTTATCCGTTTGGCTGTAATTCACCTTCAAAGTTGAAATAACGCTAAAAAAAGCAGTGTTTTCACATTTCATTGATTTTCTCGAAAAGTATAATACACAGAATTAATCCAAAAGATGCATATGAAAGCTGAATGTTTG